TTATAACCCCGTGGACAAAAACTGCCAGAGTATTTTCTAAAGATGACTGAAACCAGCAGCTTATCGAGGTTGTAAAAAGATTGAGGTGGTTATTTAGATGGGTTTTGTGTCTCAGAAAACTGAGAGGAACCCTGTGGAAGCAGTTGGCACACTGACTCGGAAACTTTTAAGAAGGAAACACCCCAAGGCAAAAGCTTACAGCTCTGTGTAGTTGCTGGCAACGGCACTGGGGTGTGGTGGGGGTGGGGGGGGAAGGGGTTGCTGGGGGCACAGAACAATAACTCACTTCTGTAAGTGCCCTGGTATTAACTCCTGGGTTAATAAGTATTTCCTTCTATGAACAAAGTACAGAAAACTCTCCCCCATCTATGTACCTGTTTTTCAGGTATGGGTTTATCAGGTCAGAGGAGATTTCTGGGAAGTTGGAGGCTTCCCAGATATGGCAAAGGTATGGGCCAGAGTAGGGGTACTGGTGGTTCAGTGGTAGAACTCTTGCCTTTCTTGCAGGACACCCGGTTTGATTCTGGCCAATGCACCTCATGCACGGCCACCACCAGTCTGTCGGTGGAGGTTTATGTGTTGCTATGATGCTGCTTGGAGCCTTGGTGGTACGGTGGTTAAGAACTCAGCTGCTAATCAAAGGTCAGCAGTTCGAATCCACCAGCTGCTCCTTGGAAACCCTACAGGACAGTTCTACTCTGTCCTATAGGGTCTCTGTGAGTCAGAATCGACTTGATGGCAATGGGTTGTTTTTTTTTTTAAATGATGTGCTGAACAGGTCTCAGCAGAGCTTCCAGACTAAGGAAGAAAGGCCTGGCAATCTACTTCCAAAAATCATCCAGTGAAAACCCTATGGATCACAACAGTCTGATCGGCAACCAATCATGGGGATGGTGCAGGATCAGGCAGTGTTTCATTCCATCGTGCATGGCGTTGCCACGAGGTGGAGGCCGACTTGACAGCAACAACAACAATGTGGGCCAGAGCAGGGAGCAATCAGACTCTTGCAGGAGATGGGACACCACTTGCTTGGGAACAGGATATTCCAGTGAGATGTTTTCTAACCTGCTGATAGAGTATGTGGTTGGTTTCACTGTTAATAATGAGAATACACAACATTCATTTGGCCATAGCTCTGTGCCAGGCTCTGCAGGGGCCATCAAACCATTCCCTTCACACAACCACCTTTTCTGATGATGGCAGACCCTGTCGGCAATTTCTCTGCAGTAGTAATTCCCCAGCCCCGCTTCCTGGCCATCAGAGCCCACCTCCCACGATGGAGGTCAAAAATGGCAAATGTTTTTATTTTTTCCCAGCCTCTCTTGCAGCTGAGGCTCAGGCATGTGACTAGATGTAGCCAATGACACAAACGGGGAAGACTTCCCAGGGTATTCTGAAAAAGATTTCCCCCCGATGACAGATTTGAGGAGAATCCCTCTCTCCTCCTTCTTGCCTTGGGCTTGTCCTTTGAGGGTGTGATGTTTGGAGCTGCAGCAGCCATCTTGTGATCAGGAAGAGAAGGCCAAGAGAACGGCAGAGAAGCCAATCCAAAGGATTTTTGAGGCACTAAATTAATCCTAGAGCAATCTACTTTTGGATTTCTTGTTACATGAGAAAAACAAATCTATTGTTTAAATCTCTTTTAGTTCAGTGTCCTGTTACTTGCAGCCAAAATACTCTGACTTGCAGGGGTAGGTTCCAGTATTATTCCCATCTTACAGATGAGGAAACTGAGGCAAAGAGAGTAAGTTATAGAGTTAGAAAGTGAGCCCCCACCATTCACTGAGCACCTACTACGTGCCAGGCACTATACTGTGTGCTTTACCTACACTGTCCCATTTAAATTTCATAATCATGTTGCAAGGTGGGTATTATTAGTCCCATTCTACAGATGACTAGACTGATGCTCAGAGAAGTTAAATAGCCTGCCCAAGGTCACATGCAACTGGAAAGTGACAGAGTTAGCATATGAACCCAGATCTGAGTCAAAGCCCACGGAACAGCTCTTGTGCTAATAAAGCCAGGATTTATCCACTTTTTTTCACAAACCTTTACCAAGTATCTATGCTACACCAGGCTGTGTACAAGGCATTGGGGGCTCAGAGATGGACAAGGCAGTTCCTGCCCTCGAACAGTCTAAACTGGAGGGGTGGTGGGCATGGGGAGAGTGACAGTGCAGTGTCGTGGCTGCAGTGATGGGTTGCTGGGCATATAGGTAGAGAAACACCCTGGCCTGGGGGGTGGGCGGTTAAGGAAAGCTTCCTGGAGGTGATCCCCAAAGAGATGAATAAATCTAAGTGCTCAGTCCAGTGGGAGAGACAAAGGTATTAAAAAACACACCAAAAAACAGCTAGGATGAGGGAGGTTTAATCAGTGGGGGGGCCATTGAGTAGGGGTCTTGAAAATGCGGCAGATGAAAGAACTTCTTGTCATCTCCTGCCCCAACCAGTTGCTCCCGGTCTCAGTAACGACTTCTCTGTCCTCTTACACTCCCTACCCCGCCTGAACCTTTGGAGCCATAGTTAGTTCCTCCCTCTGCCTCACCCACAACATCCACCTGTCCCCAAGTTGATTCCATTCTCCTTGAGAAGTCTGTCCCATTTGTCCCCCCACTTTGGTCACTTCCTGGTTCCCTGTGACTACATCAGCCTCCTAACTGGCCTCCTCCTGCCTCTAAACTCATCCTTCTTGAATCCTTTAAGGCAGACCCTGCCTCTCATGCTTCCTGCTGGACCCTGGTACTAAGAGCTCCAGACACATTTGGGGGTTGAAGCTTTTAAACACAGAAATCCAATTAAGTCACTGGCCTGCTCCAACCTCTCCTCACTATCTACAAAGGCCAAGTTCCTCCGCCTGGCATTCAAGGCCCTCCATGGATCTGTCTTGCAGTTTCCTCTCCAGCTGTGTGTCTGGCCCTGTCATGCAGAGTTCCTGGAGCACAAGGCTCCACTCACCCAGCTCTCTCCCCATCTGACAAGGCAGCCCTCCCCTTGGCCAGTCCAGGTGCTTCACCTCCATCTTGGTCTCTACCTTTCCCCCCTCTATGATGGTCAAAATTCAACTGACCTTCAAAGACCAGCCTGGATGTCACATCTCTCATGAAGCTTTCCCTGATGCCCCAAGTTTTAATAATTAAAAGAATTCACATTTCCTGGAAGTTTACTGTGGGCTGGACACTAGACTGAACATGGGGATGCTTTACATACCTCATTTCATTGTTTAATCTTCACAACAACCCTGATGAAGTAGGTATTATCATCGCCCATTTTACAGATGAGGGAACTGAGGCTCAAGGAGGCAACTGCTGTGCTCGAGGTCACACAACCAGTGAGTGGCAGATCCTAGATTTAATCCTAGGTCTGACTGATTCCAAAGCCCATGTTTTTAACAGCTGTACTATTCTGACTCCAAATACATGACGTGTAAACACACATATGCATGCATACATGGCAGATATTGGTAAATGGCAGACATTAAAATGTAACACTGTCATTAAACCTGTCATTTTCTTGCTCCCACAAGACCCTGTTTAAACCCATCATGGCATGTATCTCACCCTCCACTATTATGTAGGCACCTCCCCTACACAGTAGACACCTGGCAGGCAGGAGCCATGCCTTGCTCTTCTTTGTTTCCTCTACAGCGCCTTGCACTACACCCAGCACATAGTAGGTGCTCAACAAATACATGTTGAATGAATGAATATCCTATCCTCCTACTAGACTGTGTCCTACTTGAAGGTAGGGACAGTGTCTATCTTACTAAAAACTATGTGTGTGTGTGTGTGTGTGTGTGTGTGTGTGTGTGTGTGTGTGTGTGTGTGTGTGTGT